ATTTCCAAGGCTTGCCTTATCTGATAAAACTATAGTGCCTTCCTCTCTTGTAGTGCCCTGCTGTAATAAATGAGGCCTACCAAAACAAAAAAAATCCATAAAAAGGTGGAATTTGTCTTCTGTGTTGAAGTAAATGGAAAAAATAATTGGAGTAAAGATAGGCTTCAGAAAAAAATATCTGTGATCATAAACAATATCACACAAGACTCCATTATGATTATTTTTTCTGCTGTTTCTATGAACATTTATCTAAGAATATACTATAAAGTTTAGAAAGATTCTAAAGCAATCAACATGAACATGCAAATTTAAGTTATGCTCCGATTTAGATAGAAAAGCTAATTTCCATCTGTACTTACTGTCTACTGTAACACAACTGGCTGGAGCCTTAAATGCAGAACATTTGTTGCTGCTCGAATATCCAGGAGTGATAACTGAAGCTGAAGGTCGTAAATTTAAAGCGGTGTAGCCTTCGTCATCCTCCATCTCCAGCTCGTCACACTTCTTTCCTGCAATAGCAGTACTTTGGGAGTAGGGGCACACTGCAGCAAGACCAAAGCTGAGATGATGGGAATAGTTCACGTTTCAGCATTTCCAGTAAAACCACAGAGGAAGCTGGCTCTGTTCTGATTACTGTGTCATAGTAAAAGTGTAGTATATTGAAAGCATGTTAAGGAGTTAAAGTGGCACTGTCAAGGATGGGTGTTTTCTTCCTGAATGTGAAGATCGGGAGTCTTGGTTCCTTGCTGGAACCTAAGACTGTTTCATTTAACTATCCACCTGATCTGACCCTGCAAATACAGCAAACATCAGGATTTTCTACCTCCTTAAAATAAGATGCTCCAGAAATAGTTGCTATTTTGAGTTAAGGTATGAAAGATATCTGTTCACGTATCAGGGCACAAATACAACACATCAGCTGCACTGAAAGCAATAGGCTGCATCTCTATACACTGTTATGAAATAAATGAAGAATGAAATTATTTTACAAAAAATTCACTGAAATAAATGCTAGAAGGGGAAAAGCTGAGCTGAAAGGATGGTGAGGCCAGGAGCTTGGCAGGATTCATGCGACCGCTCAGCCTGTGTCAGGGAAAGGCCTTGGAGAACAAGTCTTATGAGGAGCAGCTGTGGGAACTGAGGTTGTTTAGCCTGGAGAAAAGGAGGCTGAGGGGAGACCTCATTGCTCTCTACAACTACCTGAAAGGAGGTTGTAGCGAGGTGGGTGTCGGTCTCTTCTCCCAAGTAACTGGCGAAAGGACGAGAGGAAATGGCCTCAAGTTGCACCAGGGGAGGTTTAGATTGGATGTGAGGAAAAATTTCTTTACTGAAAGAGTGGTTAAACATTGGAACAGGCTGCCCAGGGAAGTGGTTTAAATCCCTGGAGGTATTTAAAAGGCGTGTAGATGAGGCGCTTAGGGACATGGTTTAGTGGGCATGGTGGTGTTGGGTTGACGGTTGGACTCGATGATCTTAGAGGTCTTTTCCAACCTTAATGATTCTATGATTCTATGATTCTAAGGCCAGACTACACTGAGGACCTCTCTGCTATTGCACTGTATGCAGAAGTCACTGTGCAGAAGTGGCTTATCCATTCTCACTCTCCATCTCTAGCTCTTTGCAGTGCCGTGCTCCACTGCTGAGCTGTAGTTCTTAAACATCTTCAGTGACCAACTCTCCTTAACAGAACACTTGCCCAGACATGATGAGTCACATCGTGGTGACAGGGTGAGTCAGAAGGAAACTGCAAGACAGGAATTTCTGTGGTGAAGCTGTTCCTGCTCTTGTGTGTAAATTTCAGAGAGTCCCATTTGCAAAATAATATCAACAGACTGGAAATACACTGTAATGACCAGGCTATGCTTCCTGCCTTGCTGTGCAGATAGATTTTTTCAGAGCAGAAATATCTCTGGCTGCATGCATTTCTTGCATTATATTTTACCCGTAGGCAAAGAGAAGGTGTGAGGGAAAAGTTGGGAGTAAAGGGTGCTTACAGTCAGTTTTGTTACACAGACAGGCACGCAAGGAGTAGCATTCACTGTATATTCATGGTGTGTCCATAATATCCTCATAAAAAACTCATGCTAAATACAGTCCAAAAATCCTTGTCTATCGGGCCCGAAAACTGTATGTTGGCACCTTAGGGCTTTTCTGCAGAGAACTGGGAGTCAAGCGTGTCTATGCTACTGAATTTGGTTGCAGGTTTTCATGACAGTAACCTCTTCAGTCTTAGCAACAACTTCTCAAACATGTAATGAATCTCCTTTGGGGAAACTTTTCTCCAACCTGATTTTACTTCTGGAGAGAAAACAGGAGGTAAAATAATTTTCTTGTGTTACTTTTCTAGCTCTGAATTCAATAAGCAGTCTTAATTATATAACTTTTTTTTTGAGTCGTCTTTTAAAACAGATCCTGCCGCAAGAACAGAAGTAACAAAAGCATTAAGATGGCTTTTAACAGATGGCCATTACACTGTCTGTTCTTGTAAGGATCCAGGGCAGGCAAAATTGCTTGTTTTTTCAGACTAAAATAAAAAGAAAGGTAAAATAAGGCAGGAAGTTTGGGTCTGCATTTGAACACAGCCCATGTATAAATGTTGTCAGCAGGCTGGACAAAACAGCTCTGTTTATTAACCAGAATGTGACCTTGCAAATTGCATTAGCTAGAGTTTATGGGGAGGGAGGGAGGGATGTGGGGAGGAGTGGATTTTAGATATGGGAAACACACTATTGCATGGAACTATGACTCAAAAATGCCATCTCAGCCAACACACAAAGAGTACATTTCTGTATCTCTTCCCCTGTAAGGAAAATTTCGTTTCAATGGAAAAGAGGATACCGTTAGTCAGCGCATCCTTAAGCCCTACCTGGTTACAACACCACCAGGGTATGTCCTTTGCCAGTTTCAACCTTGCTGGATGAGGTTGTTTGCTGCAGCACTCCAAATGCCTGCAATGAATGGTAGGACACTGCCTGCCTCCTCCCTTTCTTCTCTGGGGTGATTTTTTCTTTCTCTCTTTTTCTTTTTTTTCTTGGTGTTTCAGTCATTGTTTTTTGAGAAGGAGCTAGCTCCTTCTGTTTCAGTAGCATGGCACAGTGTGAAACCGTACTCTAACCCCACCTGCCTTTACGGTTACAAATACAGTTGCTGCACCAGAGACTGCTTTTGGGCTGACAATAAATTGACCCGAAAGATCAAGGCCACAGTAAGATATGGTGTAGCCTTGTGGCTGCCTGTTAGCATAGGGAGCTGTCAATTTCAGCTCACATTTGTCTTCAACAAACTGCAGAAACACCTAGGATTTGCCCCACTGCTCTTAGGTATGCCTCATTAATGAAAAAACATCCTGGAAATATGTTTCCTGTTTCCTCACAGTCACTCTAATGTAAGAGAAAACAAGATCAGAGTTGCTTTTTTTTCTTTTTAAATTTTTCTGGCAAATTACAGCAAAGCCCTTCTTTATCAAGAAAGGATGATGAATCATGAATACCGTTCAGGATACCTTCCACATGAGATTTCTTATTTCAGTGTAGCTGGTATGAATGCTGAGAGACACTCTGGGACCTCACCAGGGCTGTGTCTGCACTGCAGGACAGAAGCAGTCTGCATTTTCACCCCCAAAACCAGGAACAGCTAGGAGAGGAACTGAGAGGAGTAGCTAGGAAAAGTTACGTTAGAGATGTGAGCGATGAGCGTAAACAGCAATGAGGAAGAGAAATCCACTAAGGCTTCTGGAGCGTGAAATTGGTATTTGAAAATAACACCCAAAATGTTCATGTTGGTGATCAGAAACTGCTGTGTAGTGCTGAGATCAGTGAGACACTGGAACAGCCCCTTGAAGGGAATGACTTTCAAGTAATTTTCAAGTAGCAGCCCAACTGCTACACCAGTGGCAAATGATCCACAATAAATAATCTGGGATGCAATCCACAGGGAATACACAAGTCTCCAGAGGGGACCAAGCTAGGAATTTGTGGACTTTTTGCTCAAATCAAAACACTGTTATGGGATTGAGATTTCTTATTTCAACCTGACCTTCATTGTTCTACGGAGGTGTGGAGGGAGACATTTTGTTCATTAACACTGCTTGGGGTATTTTCACTATGGTTAAGTTTGTAGACCCTTGCTCAGCACATTAAGTTAGTAGTATGGCATTCCAGGAAGTATCCTAAAAATACATAAAAGGAGGTTCTGTTCATGCCTCTGACTGAACCCTAGTGTAACTCTTGCAATAGGTCAAAAAAGTAGAAATTAGAAAAGTAGAAAGGAAGAGCAGAATTATTACTAGGAAAAAAAAAAGAAAAAAAAAAAAAGGAGAACTAACAGGCCAGGAAGAATTATAGAGCATGGAAGAGAGCTAGACGGTTAGAGGTAGCTGAAGGTTATCTTGTCCTGTGACACATGCACAAGTCCTTACGAAGACTATGAATCCCTGTGCTCCAGAGCAAATATGATTATTAATACAGTTTGGGAACACCTTGGCCCACCTTCTGAGGATAACTGTGTTTGTGTGTTGCATACTCCAACCTACTAGTGTATTAAAGCAGTCAGATCAACAAGACATCAGAAGCGTCTCCTGAATGAAAGTGTTTAATGCTCATCACTTGTGTTACGTTACAGCTGTACAGTTATGAACTGACAGGTGGTATTAGGAATGTATCAGTGGATGCTGGGAGAGGAGCAGTATCTTACATGCTTGCCTTGTCACTGTGCTTCTTTTCCTGGCCATCACTTTTGGCCATTTTGTCCATCACTTATGTTGGTTAAAACTGAGTAATCATTTGGCAGTTTTGGATCTGGAACGGCAGACTTGGGTCGCTCCTGGAGCCCGTCACCATGCTTATTTCCTTAGTATGAAGATATTTTTACATATGTCTAAAAGAGAATGAAAAAAGGGAAATGTAATAGGTTCGATCCAACATATTTAAATTCTCGTGTGATAGTTCTGAAAAACAAATAATAAATTCCAACCTTGCAGAATGTCTTCTAGCTTCTCACAATCATTTTGGTTTGACAAACCAGTCCTCCTGCCAACGGTTGTTACCTCGCTGTAATTGGATGGTGGGCTTTTCACAGACACAGCAAAGCTTTTCTTTACATGATTTGTTATATATGGTATGATAATGAATATATCCACAGGGTGGGAAGAAGCTTATATACTTTAGCCTAGGAAAGAAAAATCTTTATAGTTACATCTCACCTCATTCAAATGGTGCATCCTTGCCCCTTCCAAAAAGAGCTGTCTTTGCAAGAATTACTTACGTGGCTTTCACAAAGAATATATACCCCCAGCAAAGAAATAAAGCATTTAGTGACATCATGCACCAGCTCCTAGGAGGCTGACCCTGTCCTGAACATGCCAACGTGCACCCCCAGCAGACTCTAAGGGTGGATCCTAAACCATTTCTTGTACCTGACAGTAAGAAACGCTAACTCCTGGGTACTGACTGGAAGGTGTGAGTGGCTATTTCAACAGAAATGTTTAGAGGAGACTGCCCAATAATGAAAAGCAAAATTGGCAAAGCAGGTTTGAAAGCAAGAAGAAAAATAGATTGTATTCCTGAAATAACATGTTAAACTGAAGTGAAATGAGTCTAGAGAGTAAATAGTGTCTTATATAAAAATAAAAAAGTATAAAATAAAAAGCATGAAATGAAACACCTTTCCATTGAAGTTTTTTCCATGTGTCCTCACTGAAACAAGATGTCAAATACAAGAGAAATATATGACATTTATGGTCAATCTGAAACTAAATTATGGACATAAACTTTCAGGGTACTTTTTTTGCCCGGTAATAGTGCCTAGATCACCCCCCAAGGAGTCCCAGGTGAGGCCTAGAAAAATCCGAAATGGAAAAGTGAGACCCAGAATACAGAGAAAGCTGCATAAAAGTTGGCTGTTAAATGTTCCCTTTGTGTCAGAGAAACTGGGAGTTGCATATGGGTGAGGACCAACTCTATGTACTGTGGGAAGGCTGCTCGCTTACCAAGACTTTTGTTCTTCTGTAACAGCTGTGTTGTCTGCCCAATACCAGCCTTTCTGTTCGGTTCTAAATGATAATCCAATCCAGTATGTTTTTTTAGGAATTTTTTCTATCAGTTCCTAAGCAGAGTAAGCACAATTCAAATCAGATATTCAGGAAGATATTAAAAATAAATATTTAGGCTCAGAAGTTGAAAGCATTGATGGAAATTGCTTAAAGAACATAAATACAACAAATTGTTAACCTGTCAGGACAAGTTCTGCTCTTAGAGGAAAAGCCTAGTATCAACGGAGAAATTATAGTAGAGCTTTTTTTGGTCGGAGAGAAGATACATTTATAGCTCTGAAGAGCAATGTCACCCTCATCAACCTGACTTAAACCTTCTGGGTGAAACACTGGGTCGTTCTCCCCCCTTTAGTCATGAATCATTCCTCCCCGTTTACTCTGTCCTTAGCATCCGTCAACAGCGAAAAGGAAGCCTCTGCAGGGAGCTGTTGGGCTTGATTTGTTCAACCTTCACACTTGGCTCTAGCATCATTTACTTATTCCCAAAAGCTGGACCATGACAAGTAGAGGAGGTCTTAAAGCTAAGCATTTAGCAATATTCTGTTCTTAAAAAATGCTCTGAGCAGAACAGGTAAGAATGTAAACTTAAATAATGCTGCCTTTCTCACTGCTGCTTGAGGGAATTCTCTCAAGATTTGAATTCAATTTTTTCTGTTGTTCTCCTCCTTCCTTCACTTATAATTGTCACTCCCAGTGCACTTCTCCATTTTCTCTTTTTCCTTATACCTCTCAATGCCGCGATTAAGACAGCTAGAACAGGCTGCACCTCACAATCTGCTGTCACCAATTTGGGAGGGTGAGAATAAAGCTGCTCCCCTTTCCTTCTGGAAGAAACCTTATGGCCTGTAGCTCAGTGAGAGGGGACCTGACATTTGCCAAGTGCTGGAGAGCAGACAGGCCCAGCCCTGACTGCTAGCTCTTGGGACATCTTTTCTGCCTTCAGTCTTCCAATATGTCTGCTGGCATCCAGAGGCAAAAGCATTATTTCACTCCACACCTAGCATTTTCTCTTCCCACCTCAGTTTGTTTTCATTTACCAAAAGGTTAGGCCAGATTTCAGCAACTCGCTGCCCAGTGTTTTAATTTTGATTTAAAAGATGAGATCAACTTTTGTGGAAAGAACTTCCATGAAACAGGGAGGACTATGGTTCGCCTGTGAGGAGACCAGGTTAAAAGAGATTTTTCACACTAATGTCTTACAAAATCCTTGTATGGATCTGTAATACTTGTTAAATTAGTGAAAATACTGCCCACGACAAAACAGCCATGAACCTGCTTTCACCAGTCATCCCAGTAAGTAGGCAGCCACGGCAAGCTGTGGAAGATGGGCTGTCTCCAACCGCCAGCCGCTCAAAGGGCAGCGCTTTGTGTGGCAATGACCAGTCCTATGCCTTAGCACTGCCCAGGACAACCTGATCGCTGTAGAAAAACTCCTGCTCACAGTGCCATTTAAGAAAATTACATGTGAATTGAGTAGCTGACAGAGTGCGTGAACTACCTCCGTGCTAAACAGAGGGAGAAACCAGTCCATACCAGCTTTGCTGCCTCTTTTATCATAAGAAGAGTAGAGTTTTGTGAGGAACAAAACTGGTGACTCTCTTCCCATGACTTCATTTCCTCGGAGTAGTAGTAACACATGTCGCCACCTTCCCAGTTCCAGTTTGCAGGGCAGAGTACACAGTTCTGGCCTGGAAAAGGAAAACCATCATGCCGTTCCTGTTCCCAGGCTATCCCTCACAGAACATCGCTGTTGGCCTGTAGCAACAAGATCCCTAGGGACTGAGGATGTTTAAGACGGTCCTCATTCAGTCAAAATCCCACTGTGGTCCCAGAATGTTCAGGTAATGAAAGAGATGAAAACTGAATCATCCCTTTATCACCGGGAGGAGGTTCAGGTGTTGCAAATGGGATTTATTTTGCCTAATTTTAGGAGTCTACAAAGATGACATGAGTCAACCCATCTGGATTCCCATTTTAATCAATGGATGGAAGTAGTTGTGTCTCACGTGCTTTTTCTGTCATTTCAGGTGTCTTTCTTGGGAGGAAACAGACTGTATCCTTGCACTACCAATTTCTCTTCATTGACTAAAAGGGAGACCTAGACAGTTAGCTTGTCTGTGGAACAATATCCAGACAAATGAAATCCCCTTTTCCCGACAGTCAAAATAGGATCCCTTTGCCCGATGCCCCTACTCGTCAGAGTATAATTTCTGAAGAGAACTAATTCTCTGGCTGGCTCATTGTCAGATGCCACTTAAATAACTGAGCTGTGGCAAACTGATTTCAGAAACAGCCCTGCACTGGACACAGTCAGGAGACAGGGAGTGAACTCCCAGGTTGGTTTAGCTATGCTTCACCGTACATCACTTCTGACTTTAGGAGATTTTTGTCTTACCTGGGGTCGGTACTAGCACACTGTCCTGTGTGTGGACTGCTGTTCACATAGACTGCAGTATGTTGTTTAATTCTCAGGCACCACTGTAAAATTGTCTATTAGATGCAGATGAACATGTTGTAGAGATCCCTGAACTAGTGCTGATGGGAACTGGCATGTCCAGAAGGTATCCCACAGAACCCTTTTCTTATTGAAACTAAATCCTGAAACCCTGGTACCACTGCCAGGCCCCATGCCAGTGCACATATGGCCAGGCTGGGTGCCTTTCTCCAGACACTGCATGAGGCAGACATGCTCATTGCCTACTTTCTAGGTGGTCACATCTGAGAAGACACAGGCTCACCTGAGGAGACAGACCTGAGTAGACACAGAATACACATCTCATTTCATTCCCTGCCATGTTGAAAGATAAGACCTCATCAAAAATTGTTGATTTACCATTATTTTTAAGGTCTTTTTCCCCTTCCAGGCACAGCTGATTTCCTATTGATTGCAGCATATTTGAGAAATTTGCATGCAGCTCATTCTTTGTCATGTTGAGGTCTCTAAGTTGTGTCCTGTAGTTCTCGGGAATCTGGAAAACTGAAATTCACAGTAAGACTTTTTGCAGTGCTGTCCTTCAGAAAGGGTGGGATGCAGATAGAGAATGTCTTAGCAGATCATTAGGGATAAATAAACCATTTGGGACAAATGTTATTCCTCCCTGAACAGTTGCACATAAGGGCTGCTGAGATGGAAAACATTTGCATAGTGGATTTCTTATTATTTGGCTGTGAGTGAACAATAAAATTAAAGTATCACTTTTTATCGTATATTTCCATTGTGTATCTTTCTCCTATATTGGTTTGCAGGCTGTGCTTTTTTCCTAAAAATGTGAACTTCAGCTCTGGATCACAGTGGAATTGTTGTGGATGGGAGGTACCTGATGGCACAATCTGTTTACTGTGGCACAAAGCTTTTCCCTTCCCTTCAGATCCAGCATTATCAAAGCAGAATTCACTCCATCCTTGGTCAGTACAGCAGGACTGTGGATACAGTTTTTAGGACATCAGACAACGGCAGCCAGAGCAAGCAGTGAATCTCCTACTCCACCCCTTTCCAGCTCCCCTCCATGTTACTCATTTCTAGCCTCATCATGTCGAGAAGAGGACAAAGATACTGCAGCAAGGGAAAATATCTACTTTGCCTGGTTGCCTGTTCTCAGCTGAACCAGAAATTGCACCTGAAGTAGATGTCAGTATGATGTTATTCCGTAGCTTGAACCCCCCAGCAAACAGAAATGCATTAGTACTTACATAAAACTGCCAGGGTCACCAGCGCCATCAGCAATGCCAAGCACAGCGTGAACAAAATCAGGACTACTGGCCAGCAAGAGTGGGACGAAGTGGGAGGCCCTGGGAGGAATTCAGTCATGAAATGGAGGTGCGATATTAAGAGAATGGTGAACACATTAGCCTCATTAAATTGCAGCCATCTTTGTGGCGCATTGGTCAATAAGTAATTGCTTTTACTTTACGGTTGTATATTCTCTACACACAGCAAAAGATGCCCAAACAAAGTAAGAGAGTAAGAGATCACAGCAGTTCAGTGGAGAATGTGGACAGCTTTGGTCCTTTTGAAGGCCATAGACTGTGGCAAGAAAGATATTGAGAAAGCAAGATATTGCAAAATCTAGAAAGTTGATTGCTGAAAGCTGAAAAGAAATATGCACTGTATGGTTGTAGTAATTTGTGATGTGCATCATATATCTGTGGTAATCTGGTTAAACTGAGTGCTATAGTAAACTCCTCTGGTACTTTATGGTAGTTTGAGATTTTTAGCTAGGAATTCACACAGAATTTTCCTATAATAAGGGTTACAGCCTAGATACAGAAATAAGCACTCAATGAAGAGAAAAAGGAACAATCTTTTCCTGAGCAAAAGAAATTTTAGGTATGTGGGTCATCCAAAAGAGACCTTGTTTATAGGAGTTAGAAGATTTAATGGGTTAAGATGCACTGAAGGAGGGAGAAAAAGCATTCAGTTTGTCAGGGAAGCACTAAATCTAAGGCAGATATTAAAGTTGCCACTATATGGACTTTGTGGAGAGCTGCACCCAGCTTGACTTAATCCAATAAAGGCAGTAGAATGGGAATGCGGGGAGGAAATTGCTAGTCTAGAAAAGGGAAAGGGGTATTTAAAATTGGGGACTGAGTTGCTGAAGGAGTAGAAACTGAAATTTAGTGCGTCAAGCTGAAGGAACAGGAATGGAAACTATGCGGTGTGCCTCTCCTACAGATAACTGGTGGTCAGCTTCTGTGGTGAAGAGATCCTGGGCAGAATGTTGTACAAGACCTCACTCTATAGAAACTCAAGTTGATGAATTATAACAGGTGAAAGAAGATCGAGCAATGGACGTTGCCTTGAACTGGGGCACAGATCACTGCTAGCTTGTATTCAACCTCCCATTCACCATAAACCCGAGGTCCTTTCCAGCAGAGGCCTCTGCAGCCAGCCTGCTCCCAGTCTGTACCACTGCCTGGGATTAGTCCAGCCTCAGTACACAATGACTTGTGGAGTTTTGTGGGGTTTCTGCTCACCCAGTCCTCAAGTTTCTCAAGGTTCCTCTGTACTGAAGCTCTACCACTTGGTAGTGTCAGCTAGCACTCCTAGTTTAGTATCATTATAAATTTGCTGAAGACACACTCTGTGTCATTGTTCAGGTCGTTGATGAGGATATTAAACAATATAGGCTCAGTATTAAGCCCTGATGGACCCCTGAGGGACTCTGCCACCAAACAGATGTTGAGCCATTAGTTACTCCCCTTCAAAGCCTGGTAGTCCAGCCAGTTTTCAACCCACCTAACAGTCCACCATCCAGCCCATACTTCCTCAGCTTTAAGACGACAATACTGTAAGAGACACTGACAAAAGCCTTGCTAAATATATATTGCATCTGCCACTCTACCTGCACCTGCATTTCATAACAGAATGCAATCTCAGCCTAAGGAAGTGCTCTAACTGCTTGGTATTGCATAAAAGAGAAATACCCAGGCCCTTCATGAAGAGAAAGAACATCTCCCTTCTGCATTATTTTCCAAAGTCTGATCTCACAGGCATACAACAGATAGACTGAGAGATAAAGCCTGCACAGGAGAATCACATACCTTATAGATCCTAACAAGACTTAAGGACACATTGACTCCTAGGACATACGGACATTTTTAAGGTCAAAGTGCTTCTGTACATGCTCTGAAGCTGAATATTAGGTGTCTGGAGAACTTCAGTAATAGAAATTTGACTCCCTAAGGCAGGCTGCTAAATAGACTCTTATGAATTGGAGCTAAAGGGCAAAAAAAAATTGTTCCTACCCCTACAAAGTCACAGCCCCAAGCTGAAGACTGAAAGCATAGTCCACGCTTCCTGGAGGATTTAGATGAGAAGAGACACAGATTTTGTAGTTTGAAAGTGAGATTTCATAAACAAATACAAAATATTTTCTGAGCAGCAATATGAATGAAGACCAAGCAGTAGTTTTAGCTTTGGCTGTTTTGATTAAAGTATTGCCTCAAGAGTTTCTTTAGGTAAGGGTTCCCTGTACTGTACTTTGTAACCTCACACTGCTTCTGCTACATCTAGCACAGCTGAAGGGGCCTTGGGCTGGGTCTTCCTTCCTGTACTGTACTTCTGTTGTCCTAAAATAGATATATTTATTCATTGTGGTTGTTTCAATTTGATGTTTGTGAAATAATGCACAGACTGTGCTGTGCCCTCTCAGAATGGTGCTTTCTTATCACGAAATATGCATTGTCTACCCTGGGACACAGAAGCAGGACATCTGGAGTCGTATGAAGATACTGGTGTCATTGGACGTTAAAGGAAAAGAAGCCCAGAGCTTAACACAAAGGCAGTGCAGATTTTGACTTTTTTTTTTTTTTTGCCCCTGAATTATACTTTGGCAATGCTCAAAACCGTAACTTAACATAACAATGTTTAAAAAACTTATGTTCAAAAAGCATAACATACTTTCAAAAACCACAAAAGTGTTTGAAACCACTGCTCTTTGATACAGAATTCCCTAGAGAATTCCTTCTGAATCACAAGCAAGTTGTCCTCTTGTTTGTAAACCTCTGCTCCAGAGCCTGACCTCACAAACAGCTAGCACTTTCTATGTTCTTTGTTCCCATGAGTTGCACCACTCAAATCTAGAGCTCATCTTCACAGGTACTCTTAAGCAATTTAACCAAATTAAGCAAAATTAATTTAAAATTAGTATTTAAAACATAGTATTTAAAATGCATGCAGCCTTTTAAAGGATACAACCATTTCAAAGACCAGTGCCTTAATTCAGGCTAGAACTTCGGAAGTGAAATAAAATGAGTCAGATAAATTAATTCAGTTCAAAGCTTGAATGCAAATGCATGGAGAAATTAAATAGAACAGATCCACTTTAAAAATTAGTTCAAGCCAACTCTTTTGAGGTTTAGACAATTAGGACTATTTGTGGAGCTTACTCTCAGTTATATGCTTTTCCTTGACATAATAAAATCACTATTTGAGGTATACCTTCCAAACTCTAAAAAGTTCAGGCAGAAATGACAGCAACAAAACCCAGGACACATTTATAAGTAGTATAACTTTTCTGATAGTAGCAAAGCTAACAAAGGCCTCTTGGGCATACAATTAAAAATATTTCCCATTCCATCTACTTTAGCAAGAATAAATCATAAAAGCTTCACAGATACTACACCTTTTTCCTTAGTATCTTCATGCCCTGTGATATTATCCAGCTCATAGGTGTTTTCAAATTTCAGATTGGCATATGTTACTTCTTCTGTCATAGCTGGTAAAAAGAAAAGCGTCAGAACAAAAAGGTAGAAAAAGATCTAGCATTTGCAGCTAGTAAGCTAGGAAGAAAATCTATTTCCTTATATCGGCAGACACAAATGAAGCAGCAAAGACATCCAGATACATCTGAGCTTCCTCAGTCACAGTACTGCCACAAAAATGTTCCTCTCTCACTCATTGCTATATTCTCTTTCTTCCTCTTTACCTCACTTCTGCCCTCCCTGACTGGCATATATTTCTTTCTGCCATTATTGAAGAAAATGCAGCCACTTTTGTAGAACTGTTCTCTTTTCATTAGAACTCTTCTTCTTTTGGAAAGACAACATTTAACTCCTGATTACATCAGGTTCAGGCTTGAAACACAGAACTGAATAAAATGTTTTACAGCTTTGAGGCTGTCCTTTAGTTTGGGCAGCTGTTTTCAGCAGCAGATTTGTGATCACACCTTAGTTTCTGTTTCCTACCGGAACATGCCAAAAGAAAACCAGAAGGTGGATTTGCATCCTAAAGCTGGCAAATTCTGCTCTGATCCAAAAGAAGTAAGCACTTGTAGCTTGAGCACCTCAGCTAGGACATGTCAGTGTGTTGGCTCTTACCTTCCATGCCACTTCCCAAAGTGATTGTTTGGTCTGGGCACTCTAAGTCACCAAACTAGAAGGACCTCTTGACAAAGGCTGTCTCTCAGAAGATATTTTCTTCCACTCAGTTTTCTGGCATTAATGTTTTATTTCCATTTCTGGAATAATTTTCTTTATTCTTTGTTTCTTCTCCAGATTTATGGCATGAGGAAAAGCATACACTAACACTCAGATTTTGAGACTGCACAGTAAAGTGAGTCTTCAAGAAAATACATTTCTTATATCTCCCTTGCAGAGATGGACACCGCCGTAGAAACTACCTTTCTCTGAGGTGAACAAACAATCCTAGAGAGGAAAAGAAATGACAGGGAGACCTGGTTAGCCAAGGAGGGAGTACATGTTTCATTGCATGAGAAATTGTCCACCTGCTCGACTGTGGTGTGCCTCCCGTGAGTCTGTTGGTCACTGCATTTCTCTGGAGAAGAGCAGTTCTTTGTTATCCTGGTAGGGCAGTGCTTTGCTGGACTATTGCTATTATCCAAAGAATTGTGTAGGGCAAATTTTATAACAGCTGGCATAACTGAGACCATGAGACACGATCTTCTAGAGCAAGAACAAAATATTCAGTTGATGTCAAAATGTCAGTGATTCTACCTGGAGTAGAAAGGCAGACAGACACACTCCTTAACGAAAACAGGAGCAGGAGACTAGATTATCTGTGGAGTTTTAAGCCCCTCTTCATGATGTTTCTTAACACTTCCACAGTTGTGAAGCCTTAAATATGCATGACAAAAGCAGGATGTCTGAAGTTTCCGGTACAGTTTTTGAAATTTAGAAAAAATGATGAATGGAACAGAAATAGATTAGGCATGCACATCACCACTGTAACTGAGACTTAATTTTTCGCTTTACTGAGAAAATTAACCAAACATTATTCTTTATAGCAATGCTAAAATCAAAATGACTAGTCTAAATTAACCAAAGAAATTTAGATCCTTGAGGTACTGGGTCAGCTATGTAGATGGAACATAAAGGAAAATATATTTAATACAAAATGTCAAAAAAACAGCCAAGGTTTCCAGAAACCAAACTCTACTAAAAATCAACCTGACCTGTTTTGGGGATTTTTTTGTTTGTTTGTTGGTTGGTTGTTTCCCCCCAACACCCCCCAAGTGTGCTTGTTTAGGGAAGTGTCATTGGTAAAACATGTTTATTTGTAAATACCTAAAATAATCCATCAGCTTTGTGCACCAAAATAGTCCTGGAGCTTTTGAAATTTCCACTCTACATCCTCTCTTAGGCACCAAGTTAAAGGATTTCAACTTTCAGAGGCTCTTCTTTGGCTTAAAGGAGGCAGGCCAGCACCCAACACCTCTGAAAGCTATAACATTTTCATGTAGGCATTAAGAAAAATAAGCATCTGTATAATAATATCCTTTTAATTTATTTATTGCCTATTATAATTTAAAATTTGACTATTGCTCCAGGCAATAAAAAATTAAAACCATTTAAGAGAAACCATACGTAAGGTCTAAAATAAAGAAAGTAAGATAAGGCTTTAACAGAAAACCAATATAATCTTCCTGTTGTAGTATGACTACTTATCTGTTGAGAAATGCTGTCTCTTCTCCTTTTCTTAACTGACCTTTATATAGAGTGAGAAAACTTCTGGCTGTTTGAAGTATTAAAAAATAGCGTAAGTGTGAGAATTTCAAAATTTGTTTGATCTAGGCAGCTGACTCCAACAAACTTCTGGACTTACAGGAAGAAGCCCTTGCTCTTTATTTAGTTGATGCATAATTTGCTGTGCTGCATCTCAAAATGCGTTGTGAATATCATTTGCCAGTTGGCAGTGCTGAAGGTAAATTGGAGAAAGATTTCTTGACTGAATCTAAAACATAAAGTGTTTCTAATTTGTTGCAAATACAGCTACAGTTCATTCTCCTGAAAGTCTTAAGGAACAGAAAAATCAAAATGGGGTGAAATTCAATAATGCAAATGGCAAGGCCACATATATGGGAATTGGTAGCCAGAATTTTCTGAATCAGAAAGGGCTCAAAAAGAGAAAGACCTGAGTATAATAATATTTCTTGTGAGTTTGAGTAGGAACTAGGAATATACCGTGCCTGTTAAGATCTCATGCCAGTTATGAAAGAAATTTAAGTGCTGGTACATAAAGCAGTAGTGACACCACATCCAGAATACTCTGCTTCATTGTTCTGATCAAAAATGGAAGGCCATGAACTTGGAAGACTAATAGATAAAAGGACTGCTTGGAACAATAAGTTCATCTGCTGGAAATGACTGTGAAATCTGGTCACAGGATGTATATGGACCATTTGCATCCTTCGAGCACGATAAACTTTGGGAAATGCTCCTAACAGAAACAGGGACAAGCTGGTGCTCAGGCTCTGCTTCATCTGGAATCCCCTTATGGTTAAAGCATCTCTGGTCAGAAAAGACAAAAACTAGAGCACAGAAAAAGGCTGTGCTGATGACGGGAATGTGAGGCCTCTCTTACAGGAGAAAGACTGAAAATCTTGTCTCAGTTAGTTTGGCAGAATGCGGTCTGGAAAGGGAAATGGTTGGCTTCTTACAGATAAAGAGGGGCTAAACATCAGTGGGGAATGAGTCGTTTAGATCTGTGTGATCTGACATCTTCTACAAAGGCAGTGACTGCAGCTAGAGGAGCAGGAGAGGATACCCTCATCTCTTCTGCTTCCCACTCCCCATAAGGGCACCATAATGCGACATGGGCAGTTTATTGGAGTAAATAAAGCAACCATTATTTCTGGTTTATTCTATCACATGGAAAAGAACCAATGGTAGAAAAAGAGCTTCAGTCCTTTCTGCTAAGGCTGGCCCTGTATTTCTGAACACTGCTGAATAGCAAGAAATGCTTCCTGCTGCTCTTCGGTTCAAGCGGACAGTTCAGCTAGTGCCAGAACCTTGTGCAGTTTAAAGTAACCCTGTTGCAAACTATCAAATAGCATTATGACTTTCCAAGGTTCTAAAAGCTTGAAGCCACAGCTCTAATGAGGCCTGAGCCTGAGAAACCAACACTAACTATCAAAGCTGGGTCTTAACGGTTGGAAAGTTTGAGGGCTTCCAGCTCTGATGATCAACCTGCTATTAACTAGTTCAGCTGATATTTCCTCTTGTACATCTTCTCTTCCCTATTAGACAATGCTGGTCTATTTCCTTTCTTCTTTTTTTTTAATCTTTCCCCCTTTTTTTTTTCTTCTTTCTTTTCCTTCTTCTTAGTCTGGAATTCTGCTTCCCTTTGACCTCTCAAGACTTCTTGTTTCTCCAAACAAGTTACCACACGTCCTAGTGTACAAGTATTTATAATGTGTCATATTTTGTTAGAAACCTCTTCTATGTTATTCAGTTCAAAGAACAAAATAACTACAGAAGTGGTATTTGACGTTCATTTCAGAGCAACAGGGTAGGACAAATTGCTGGTTGTCTGAGCACTCAGTTATTTAAGTCAAGAAATTGGTTCAGGATGTTATACTTCTCGGAGGAACAATGAGTTTCTGCAGCCCCTAACAGCTCTTCTTTGGGAAATGAGTTTTTCTGTTGTAAATTCCCTTTTCCCTCATTTAAAAAAAAAAAAAAAAAGATTTGGGGGAGTCAAAGATCACAGCCAACATTATTTAGAACACCTTTTATTAATTAACAGTTATTATTGGTAGAGCCAAGCAGTTATTACTAGAAGCAGATGGCTATTCACAAAACACATTCTCTTGCTCCCCTCGTGCAGTTCACACATTCGTTCACCCAGTCGGAGCAGCAGCAGTGAGGCCAAGCACAGCATGACACTCAGCAGCAAAAGGATATATTGACACACTGCTGGCTTCTAGGCAGGTGATCAGAAAAGCCATCGGGGGCCCTGAGTTTCATCAGATGTATGCACAACCCTGTAGCCTGTGTTGGAAACAGCAGTCACTGCCCGGCAGCAGTCTGGGTTACTGCACGTGTTGTAGGTGCTGGTGTGTGCTGGTGGCATAGATTTGGCAGGCTGTTGGCATTCTGGGCTGACCAGGTCTTGCAGCTCCAGCAGAACTCCTGGGCTCCAGAGTTTATCAGACCTTGGGAGGTTTTCGCATAGTACCTCTCAGCGCATACTCTCCTTCTCCTTGTCTTGTTTTCTGGTAGCTTTTTCTCCATCAACAACAACCAGTACCTATAGGATCCATTCATAAAAACTCGCACAAAAGGTTACTTACAGCCATCCATCGAATTTGTGTCTCTTGCTTTATTCTTCACCACTCTTTAAATTTAAAATTGTATTATGCAAGAATAATGTGGGTTACTAGGTAACATTCTTAGTAAAATTGTAAGAGAATTTTACTTCCCTGAATCATGTGAATCAGAGAAGTACACAGCAGAGGGTGTGTCAATGCAAGTGA